GACACGGGACTTTTGGGGATAGCCCCTCCCGCTTAAATAAGATTCCTGCATGAAAAAATGGAAAGTAGATCTATCTCCTATCCCAACGATGTAAACTAACCAGTCAAAGTGGATGCGTGCATGTTAAGAAATTTAGGCCAAGGCACGAGAGATTATGATTAAGAGAAGCAGATGCGTGGTGGTGATTCGTTGCGGGGGGGGGGAGAGAAAAAGAGAGAGAGAGAGGGGGGAGGGAGGGGAGGGAGAGAGCGCAGATGTAGATTGCAAATGTAGAGTAAGCGCAATGCCTAAACAATGACAGGAAACAAAGCAAAAGAGAGATCTAATTTGTAGGGCAAGGTTTCCAAAGTGGGAACATACGCAGTCCCTTACACCTGCCTGGTTCAGAATCAGCAAGTGAGGCGAGGAAAAGGTAAGCCGGTCATCATCATCAAGTTTCAGATCTGAGACAGACAACGGCGATCATGGTTCTCCGTTCATTCCTTTGCTCGGATGCTCTCAAAATAGGTAGATTCTATCTACTCGTACATTGTCCTGATCTTTCCCTGTCCCCCATCTGCTAAGGCTCTCCACGTAGGTTACCCAAGGTATACCAATCAATTTTTATTAAGAGTTTTACGGCACTCGAAACACAACAAGGTCATATAGTTGCTGAAGATTTGAGGTGTTTAAAGAGAGTAATAAATATTTTAAAAAGAAGGAAGAGAGATCAGGACGATATGTTTGATAGGACAGAAAGAGCAAACCACACCACCACACCAACCAACTACCAACACCGGCCACATTGAAGATAGAAAAAGCACAAAAAGATCAAGGCAATTTTTTAGGGGTATGTTTTTGATGTTGTTGATTATTTTTGTTTTTTGGTGTTTTTTATTGTTTGTTGTTTAGTTGTTTTTTTGTTTGGTTTTTATTTTGGTTTTTTTGTTGTTGTTGTTGTTGTTTTGGGGGAACAGACGAAGACATCAAGGTCAGAATCCAAAAGGCAAGAGCAGCATTCATCATCCTCAGGAATATATGGATATCTAAAGAAAAACAACGGGATTGAACACCAAGCCGAGGATCTTCAAAACAAACGAGAAGACTGTTCTACTGTATTTTTTCAGAGACACGGGGGCTCACAGCATCAGCAGCAAGGAAACTGCAGAGCTTCAGAAATGGATGTCTAATAAGGATAGTGGTACGATCAAGTCACAAATAATGCTCACTGTGGGAAAGAACAAGCCAAAGGCCAGTAAAGGAAGACATACAGGTGAAGAAATGGAAATGGATTGGCCACACCCTGAGGAGATCCCCGACAAGAATCACCAGACAGGCATCGACGTGGAATCCACAAAGAAAACGTAAGAAAGGAAGACCAAAGATGACATCGAGGCTAGCGGTTCAAGCGGAAATGGAAAAGGCGGGGACATCATGGAAAAAGCTAGAAAAGGATGCACAGGACAGTCTTCACTGGAGAAATGTTGTCGATGCCCAAGGCTCCACTGGGAGTTTAAAAGGGAAAGAGAGAGTGAGAGAGAGAGAGAGAGAGAGAGAGAGAGGGGGGGGGGAGACAAAAAGAAGCCTAAACTATAACAAAGCAGCACAGGAAAGCGGGGGTCTAAACTATACTAAAACAGCACATGTGAGCGTGGTGTTGTGAATCCACCTTATGCATTTGTGCCCTTTACAACTATTATTAATTACTCCCAGCAGAGCCTAGAACTCAGAAAAATTCTCGGCTTCCCAGGAAACATACAGTGAAAGCAGCTGATTAAGCACTCAAACACTAACAAACTGACAAGGTCTTTCGCTATCTATAGCCTAGTACCCATTCTCCCCTCCGAGGTGAAGTGAAGAAAACGAGTGTAAAGTGCATTTTCTAAGCACATACTGTCGAGAACCTGAAGGGTTTGGAATCCACGACCTTTCAGTTGAGAGTCCGAGAGACTAACCACTAGACCAACGACACCACGAAGATCCACGCTGCCACAGACTCCTAGACTCTGTTCTCCCCACTTACATCACATCAGTTGCCTTGCTTCCTTCAATTTGTGCTCCGAGAAATCAGCAGTGGCGGTGGGTGGACCAAGATTTGGGTGGGGCTTAGGTTTCTTCCACTTCTTTACCACCAAAAAGCAAGCAATAATAACAAAACAGTAATGCTTTTTCTATACTCACGGCGTGCCACGGCATTTTGAGAACCATTCAAGCGAGAAGAGTCACCTTTGTCTTCCATCTCTTTGTTCTTAGTTAAATTTAAGCTCTTCTAGATGGTGGGGACGAAGCCGTTTCACCTCCAAATTTCTCTAATTAGTTTTTATCTGAAGAAAAAAGTTGCCTCAAAAGTGGTTTGATGTAATTAATAACTGTTAAATCTCAGCGGCACAAACACACAGCACTCCAAGCACATGCCGTCTATGTGGTGGATTGGGTCGTGTTTTTGCGAAAAATAGAACGCGCCTAACAAAGGTCCAATGGGCGCTTAGGTATCTGTGTCACTGGTGGAAAGTGTGTCGTAAACTGTCACCCCATTGTCAGGGCTGGGAGAGCGTGAGCCCTCTGTGCAGTGTTTTTTTTTTTTTAAGTCTTCTACCTTTTTACACAAAGAGTTTCATTACAGACGGGCGTGGGAACCGGCTTATTCTTTCTGAGCCCTAACGACATTTGATTGGCTGTTAGGTTACTATAGTTGTAAGCGGTGACAACAACGATTGGATGAACGGACCACCAAGCTGATAACTGTGTGTTCATTGTGTGCGATCATAACGGTTTCAGCTGCTTATTTCTTTATTTAAGAAACTTTCATTAACTAAGGGATAGAGTTGGGGTGGGGACGGGGTGGGGGTTGAGGGGCTCAAGCCCTTAAGCCCTTCACTACCCACCGCCACTGGAAATCAGCCGACTACATACGCAGCTGAATTTCCCCACGGTCGCTTGAATGCAAACCCCCAACTCCAAGCATCCCGTCTTCAAATTTACATATCGCTACCTTATACGGGGTGTCCACTACGACGTAATCGGCCGATCTGTCCGATCGCCCGACTCGATCGCCCCAAAAATAAACGTGTTTGTTTTCAGTTTCAGGCGATCGAGTGGGGCGATCGGCCCGATCCAGCCGTAGTGGGCACCCCGTAACAAAGTTCTGTCAGAAATATTTGGCCTTTTTCTTTTACTAAAACAATGAGGTCAAAAACCAATTGACTGTTCTGTCAAAATTATAAGATTATAGGAGTCGCTATTAAGATATAAAAAAAGCCTTCCAAAAAGCTTACCATGTATTGAAATTCAAAATGTTTAAAGTCAAATTTGTAATTCTATAGTAGCCAGACGTTGTCCAGAGAGAATGAGCTTTCGTGGCTGTTTAGTCGAAGAACTTCATCACAGCTGAAAGAAAAGCAGCTGAAGTTCAGCAATTTGAGCGGCAAATCAAACAATACGAAAAATATCTGAGTGTGAAAAAGAAGAGGCCGGAGTATCTCGAGGCAATAGCTCACACTTGTCCTCCCGTACCTTGACTTTCCTAAACGAACTTTTTTCTCAAAAGCATGATATAAAACTGTTTTTAGATAACGGAATCGGTATCAACTCAGTTAGAAATAGTGAATTATGACAAGAAACATAACCGTATGCAAGCCCTGTTTTGATCCATCCGTCAATGTCAAAATAGGCGCCTCTCCTTTGTGCTAAGTTGTTTTGTTCTTTCTTTTTGGAGTCCGTTTGCTGGGGTCTGTTTTTTCTGTTGTTAAGTTGTTGTTTGTTTTGTGTGGTTTTTTGTGTGTTTTGTTCTTTGTTTTTGTTTTTTGTTGTTGTTGTTTTTGTTTTGTTTTTTTGTTGTTGTTGTTTTGTTGTTGTTTTTTGGGGGGTGGTGGGTTCTTGTTGCTGTTGTTTGTTGTTGATTTGTTTGTTTTGTTTTTTGGTGGGGGACATTTTTTGTTCAGTTTTAGAATGTTACGGATTGTACAATTTTAGTTTTCCATTGCAGTGTGTGTGTGTGTGTGTGTGTGTGCGTGTATGTATGTTTTGTGTAGGTGTTTTGTGCGTTTTTGTGGGTATGTGTCTGTGTGTATGTGTTTTCTTTTGTTTTGGTGGGGGGGTATGTTTTTTTTCCTGTTGTTGTTGTCGCTTTGGTTGGGGTTTTGGTTTGTTTGTTTGTTTGTTTGCTGTTGTTTTTTGTGGGTTTTTTTGTTTTTTTATACGCCTTTGGCGAAACAATGGAGACCTGAGAGCCAGTCATGTTAGCCTACAACACAGGTGTCAAACTCAAGGCTCGCAGGCTGTATCCGGCCGGGCGAACAACTAACTGAACCTGGCCCGCGAGAGAATTTTAGGTAGTCCATTCTGGGAATCTCCATAACACTTGACCGTACCACTTTTTTATCTCTCCGGCTGAGCCTATGGCTGATGAGTCGCAGGACGAGGACGTCGTTCACTTTCCGTCGCAACAGGAACTAGAAACAATTGATACTCATTTTCTGGATCTGCAGTTAAAATATTTTCTTCATTCACTTTGAGACCTGGACTTTCTTCTATATTTTTAAGGATTATTTCACTGGGTTAAAGAGATCTGGTGACATAACATTTCCCTGCCTAATAAACTCCTATTTCTATGTGCTTATATTCGCTGTACTCTCCCTGAATTCTTACAGCTGTGTTTTGGTCCTGGTACAAATTTCTAAAATTCATAGATCCTTTCCACCTATGTCTAGCGCTTTTCAATTCCAAAAAGCTTTGTTATTAGGATTTTGCTTTCTGCTTAAGACCATAGGCTAATTTGGGTGCGCTGATCTTCAAAATGATGCTTAATTTTTATGCTTAGGTCTAGTTTTTCAGAAACAGTTACGGGTTGTTTTGCTTAGTTTACATAGTAAAAAAAATATCATATTGTACCTAACATACCAGACCCCACACTCCACACCATGCGTTACCACACCGTACTATTCCATATGGACATCCTTCAACCATCAGGTTCATACACAATTTCGAAAGTTAAAAAAAAACAACAGCTGTGAACAATGAAATTGGGTTTTCTGATTGCTTGCTATTTATTAAAGGCTATAAAACATAGGAATATTAACAATATGCATTTTTTTCCACAGACGCCTTCTTTGTAGAGGAGCTTTAGGTTCCAGCTAAAGCAATTTGTGTCATTGCAACTCCATAAATGTACGCTCCGGGCGCAAAGCAGTATAAAACAAGTTTCATTTACCGTTGTTCTTTTTTACGAGCTTCGAAAACTCTTTAAGAACTTTCCAGAAAGTTTATAACTTGAGAAACAAAACGTACGTCTGGCTTACAGACGTCCTCTGGTGTCGTAATAACTACAGCCTGCTGGTGATCCAGTCGGTGTAGAAAGAGACCCGAGAGGCCGTAGTGGGTCGCGCGTTGGCGCAGAGGAAGTTGGGCCAACTGAGGATGCCCGCCAGACGGCCGTTACAGACGAGGGGTCCACCAGAGTCTCTCTGTGGAAGAGAATTAATGTGAGGCGTCGGAGTAAAACCAGACGCTCGTCAAAATATTGTTATTGGAGATACCAACATTTATCAATTGTTTTCCCCATTTTTGGGCTCAGACCCTTTTGTGACCATTTAAAACACATTTCTGTGTAGATTTTTACTGGAAAAACGTTTGATCAAACGCCAAGTAGGTTTCAAATACACTCAAGCTTTGAAAGTCACAAAACTTTGACGGCCAATTCCTGACTCATTCTACCGCAGACACCAGGCGACCCCCACCACCTCCAATGACAAATATCTCGACTTCTGTTAAATATAGATGGATATTTTTTTCCAACAAAAGCAAGACAAACGAACAAGCTTTAAGATGATACCAATAACTCCATATGCCTAAACAATTAACGAGTGCCTAATTCCCCCGCGTCATGACACAAATGTCACTGAAGGACTCGCCATAGAGAGTGAATGTCGTCACTGCTTTGCAGCGAGCCATCTCTTATAGTGAGTCATAGCAGTGAAATGAGACACTCGTCAAAGTAATGAAACAGAAGAAACCGATATTTTTTCCGCCTGTTGGACAAGTTTTCTGGTGGAACTTTTTCTTTTCTTAATTCCCATTATAATTATTCGTTTAAAAACAAATTTCTGTGCTGACTTTACTGGAGAAAACGTTGATCAAAGAAAGACACACAAAATGTACATTTGCCGTATCCGAAGACACTTTAGCTTTGGAAGTCAGTAAACTTAGGAGGTCATTTTCTCGCTAGAGGTTAACCTCTGACATCATTTACCCGAAAACTGACAAGCACTTGATTGCACCAAGTCATAAACACAATTGTTGTGGAAGAGAAAGATCGTTGGAGTAATCAAGACAGTAGCTAAATATCGCCACAGCATGGCGGTTATAGCGAATTCTAATTAATCTATAAGAGAAATGTCGCTTTAAGGGTAGTTATAGTTAGTAAAATATGTCGTAGAGCGAACTCTGTTTAACGTGATTGGGAAATTATGTCGCATTAAGGAAATCGATAGTAATAAAGTATTTAATGTCGTCACCACTTGGCGTCGAGCCATCGCTAATTAATTCAGAAAAAAGTAAAGTCGCTGGAAGGATCTCGAGAGCAATAAAGTAAATTAATGTAGTCACCACATCGCTACCTTAGAATTACATAGTTCTATCTGCTCAGTACCTATGCTTGGGAAAGTTGGTGTTAAAAATAGTGGGTTTCAAAAAATGAGAATTCTTTTCATATAAATTATGCACTTCTTTAAATCTCGATAACAAGTCTGAATAACCATACGATTTTGATACAGCAGATAGAACATATTTTGGTTTCTGACCTCACGGTCTTAGTAAATCGAAGCAGCCTTTTTAAAAAGTTGTTTTTTAAAGTAACTCAAAACAGCCAACAATGTCAGAAAGAACTTTGTAATTCTAAGGTAGCGACTTGGTGGCAGGCCAGCCCTAACTTCTGCCCCAGCTGTCCATGGACCACCCACCGACGTCTGTTCTGTAGCGGTTATACGGGGTGCCCACTACGGATGGGATCGGCCGATCGGGTTATTCACCCGACTCGGTCGCCTCAAAAACAAACCTGTTTGTTTAAAAAATACGGGTGTCCACTACGGCTGGTTCGGGCCGATCGCCCGACTCGATCGCCTGAAACTGAAAACAAAAACGTTTGTTTTTGAGGCGATCGAGTCGGGGCGATCGGCCCGATCCAGCCGCAGTGGGCACCCTGGTATTAGGCGCCCAACTGCTGTCGCACGCAGGAGACCCGAGTTCGATTCATGAATTAGATTTTTATCGAGTATCTGAATCAATCTGCTGGGAGCTGCTGTATCCTTCTCAGCCTAGGTTGGCCCTGACTGTCAGATTCGGAAGCCCGTATCCTAAATGAACTGAAGTGTGTCGATGAGGACGTAAAACACCTACACGTTAAAAAGAAAACACTTCTTGAACCACTCTCTTGTCTTCTGGGCAGGCTCATGATCTTGTACTGCGTCCGTAGGCATAAATCCCTCCATTTAGGGTGACGTTGGAATTATTTGAAGGGGCTGGTTTTGTGTGAAATCAGTGTACAAATATTGAAGTACAATTTAACCCCTCACCCATCCTTCATATTCCCCTGAACGACTTTGGGTGATTTGAAAAAGTTTAGTAAGACAGGTTTTTTGTGCAAAATTGATGCATAGCATGGATGTTTAAGTACGATCTCCTTCCAGCCCCCTTAAAGACTGGGTGATTTGAAATTGAAATTGGTTAGTTGGACTGGGTTATTTTCCATTTATTGTGTGTGGGATCGGGGGGGGGTGGGGGTGGAGGGGGGATGTGTAAGCAGCTACAGGAACAGGAAACGGTAGTTGGCTATGTGATGTGCGAAAATATAAGGGGGAGGGTGGTACATTTTTCCTCTTGCCAATTTCTCTGAGAAAACGGAGAAAAAAAGTGCTTTGGAGAGTAATACTCCGTCATTCAAAAGATACTCCTACAGCAGTAAAAGCAGAAAGTTCTGAAACTGGTGCTGATGGTGGTGGTGCTGGTGGTTGTAGTGGTGGTGGTGAGGATGGTGTTCATGATGATGGTGGTGTGGGGAGGGAGTAGCGGTTGTTGTAGCGGTGATTATAGTGATGGTGATGGTGGGCGTGATGATGGTGTTGATGGTGGTGATGGTTGTGCTGTTGTTTGTGGTAGTGGTAGTGGTGGAGGTGATGGTGGTGGTGGTGGTGGTGGTAGTAGTACAAACACAATCAGATTTTAACAAGACGTAATGGGTAGAGTTGGGTAATGAGTCGCTTCAGCAAAATCCGGATAATATTTTAGTGCCTCTCTTCAGCTAATAATATGATATGAACCGCTTCGGCAAATGGGTTAGAACCACTTCGACAAACGGGTTATCATCACTTCAACAAATGGGTGCACCCACTTCGGCAAACGGGTCAGGAAAGAGAGTCTGTTTTTGTTTTTGTAAAGTGTTTTACGGCGCTCGCAACTGCATAGGTCATATGAGCGCGCGGGACACACCTAATATTTTCAGTTGGTAGGAAATTTTGAATTTTGCCCGGGTGGCGGCCGAAGCCTACTCTTATCGATTTTAGACCACCAAGGGATCTTTAACGTGCGCAACTTGCACACGGGCCCTCCGAAATTTTTCGCCCTTGTCCGAGAAGGCTAGGTGTAGATCTTTCCTACCAGAAGATAAGGGGTGTGGCAGAAAGACAGCAGTAAGAAGGAGCCAAGGAGTAGCAGTAGTAAGGCTGCAGAAAGAGTCAGGAGCCCAGAGGATGGGGCAAAGGAGGTGAGGGGGTTGGGGCAGAAAGTGGAAATGAAAGCAGACAACAGAACATTGCTAGAGAGTAGGAAAGGAGGTGAAAGGAGACAATTTTAGAGAATAAAATTTTTCGGTCGCTACCCGGATTCGAACCCGGGACCTTTGAATGAGAGGCCAACACCTTAACCTCTAGGCCACGAGAGCCCCCAAAGAGAGTCTGAAATCGGATAATGTTTCATTGAGAATTATCCGGTTATCCTTTTGGATTATCCGGATTTTGCCCACTTATAGTAATGGATACGTATTCAATAGCAGCGAAAACAACAAGCATCATGTTGGCTGAGAATATAATACTATATGTAAGGCAGCGTGGTGGAATCAGGCTCTCGTCAATTTTTGTGCACAGAGAGTTATTGGTATCATCTTAAAGCTTGTTCACTTGTCATTATATGGATGAAAAAATATCCATTTATTTTGAATACAAGTCAAGATATTTGCGAATGAAGAGGTGGGGGTTACATGTTTTCAGAGGTATAATCAATGAGAAAATGGCCTCCGAAGATTACTTGTTTCCTTAGCTTAAGAGTCCATGGTAACTGACCATTTACATTTTTGTGCCTTTAATCAACTTATTTCAGAAAAATCCACACTGAAATGAGTTCCTTAATGGGCATGAAAGGTGTTGATAAAAAAAAACATAAATTTGATGAAAATTCACAAACCTGTGGAAAAATGCAAGTTTCTTCACTGTGATTATTTTGACGAGAGCCTGATTCCACCACGGTGCCTCACATATGAGTTATGGCAGTGAAATCAGGCACTCGTCGAAATAGGGAAATAGAAGAAATCATTATTTTCCCGCCCGTTGGACAAGTTTTATGCTATTTAAAACACATTCTGTGCTGACTTTAAATTAGCAGTTTACAAGGACACATTAATTTCGGAAGTTTGTAAACTTTGGTGGCCATTTTCTCGCTAATTTTACCTCTGACACCAGCGACTTCCATCTCCTCCACTCATAAATAGCTCGGCTTTTATTCAGAATAGATGAGTATTCTTTAATCGAAAGCAAGCCAAAAGAACAGACTTCAAGATTATACCAATAACTCCATTAGCCCCAATACTGGCGAGCGCCTGATTCCATTGCCCTGTGACACATATAATCAATTACTTACGAAGCAAGTATTCGCGTCTGAGTTCACGAAACATAAATCCCGGGTATTGACTAAAAAGCCTGTCGCCAGGGTGAACTGAAGGAGACATCTGAACCGGGTGATGATTCTGAAGTTTGCTTCGGTCAGCTCCATAGACGCTGAAATATTTTAGTTTGGATGTCAAAGCAGAAAAAACTAGAATAGTAAAAACCTCTACAAAGTAGTAATCATAATCATCATATTATTCATATTATTAT